TCGTCACACCCCCTCCTCCATCAGTCATCACCATCCATCCACCCATCCAAGGACCAGGAGTCGGCCGCCATCGGTACAATGTATCGAGATACAGTGCCTCGTGCATCCATACCACCCAACCCAACCCAACCCTCTCTCCCCCAGGCCCCCAAAGCTGACATATAAACCGGGTTCCTGGAATTAAGGTGGAGGCAGCATCCAATACATGCCCCCCGATGGTTCATGAATACACCACCAGTCCTCCCCAGTCTCAGCCACCGTCGTTGGCCAAATTGGGCCATTAACCTAAAGCTGCGACTAGACAGTGGGAACACGTGCAAGGGCTTTACTATGTATCGTCGAGTCCGTTGCTTATCACCGTGAAAACCTTACGTTATTGCCTAGATATTCACGGGACTTGAAGTCGGTCACATATGTCATGTGTGTTAGGCCAAGGAAACTCCTTGCTTCATGGGAGCACAAGTCATCTGCACGCACATACATAGCATAGTCCACCTTACATACGAATACATGCAACATTACCGTTGGGCACATACCAAGTCCACCCAACAATGCAGCCACCCAACTGCAAGACGACCGTTTAAGCAGCAGTGCCATGCTCCCGGCCGCTGGACTCGAGCCTTGCGCTCTCGCCCAAAGCTGTCACCTGCAACAAAAATGCGTTTGCCGCTTGCCTCCCAGCCAGTGGAAGCTTTTGCCCGCGAAATGACTCCAAATATACCCCATCCACATCCCGTGCCTTTCCGTCCTTGGCCAGAGAGGGCAACGTGAGCCTTCTTCTCCCCCAATGCTCTCATCAATTGCCCCGGACATGGTCGCAAGGACAGAGTGTGGCCCCGTCCATCCCTCCTTGAGCAAGACGAGACCCTTGCTGCAGGCGGATGCGAAATGCCACACATCCGCCCATGAGAAGGCAGCTTGGGCTGTCAAACCTGTGCGGGCCCCGTCGAGGCCTCTCGTCCATGTATGGCTTGGCATTGCGCTAGGCAGTTGAAGCAGACGCCTGATTTGGACTCGAGCGTCGTTAAATGTCAGGGATTACACGGGGAGAAGAGGGGTCGAGGCGGAGGAGAATAAACGGTGGCGCTCTCTTTTGTCCATTGTCACACACACGCCGCGTCCATCCCATCTCATCCCCCTGACGGCCTCCCGTTAACGGCTTGTCAATGGCCGTGCCTGGATGACGCCTCTACCTGCCAATAGGTCCCTCTAGAAACGCCCAAGAAACGCCTCTGTGTGGAATCGTACGATTGTTGCAACCCTTTCAAACGCTTAAGTGCCCGTATCCCTCCTCTTTCCTAAACAAGTAGTAGTGTTGTTGACCCAGCTTGTCTCTATTGTCATGCCTGCTAGATGGTGGAGGGTCACATCCTGGCATTGACGCAATGGGAGAGAGCTCGCTCGATCTCGGAGATGGAAGTTGAATTGTCAGATCGAACGAAGCGAGGGCGATCTCAAAGTTCCTCCCGTGGAGCTCACCCCCTAGTCAGGGTTCTTGTAGGGGGGAGCGATCCGATTAGCTGGCTATCTTTTTTGGTAGGACTTTCGATGTGACCACCAGGATGTGACAGGCCCGTATAGGCGCGGTTACCGATAGGCGCTGGTGTGCTACTACTCGGGGCAGGGCGACGTTCACATGACCGTTGTAAAGAACTGCCGAACCATACGAGAATAGCGAGAACATGGGAATCGTCAAGCACAAAGCGATTGCGCTCAAGAACGTGGGCGTTACGGGGTAGCCGGGCCACCCTTAGTCGTCGATCATAGCCCTCGACGTTCCCCGAATTTGACTTCGAGTCGCAGGGTAGGTCGCTCGACTTTGGCTAGTCGTGTGATAGATAACGTCCTCGCAGTAGTGGAAGGATGCAGTTCCTTGGCTCGGAATGATGAGGCCAAAGTCCAGTAAGCTGATCGTTTCATTCAATGACGTCCTATTGGAAATATCCCATAAGCGAGCGTTGATGCGTCGACCATTCGCTATGGTAGGTCTCACAGATGTCCCTCGCTCGGCGGACACAGCATATCAATGAAACTGCATGGTAAAGCTTTGAGTGAAGCACGACTGGGAACACAACAGATCAAGGGCATAGTGTAACGGCGATTGTCCAGGGGTTGAGTATTTCCCATATGTGCAGGTTAGGTTCGTCCCAGACGAATTGTCCCTGGATCTCAGTCAAAGGAGTTGAGACGTGACGTGTTGATATTGTTCCGGGACAAACAGCTTTGAGGCACTCGCTGTAGTCCTCTCTTCCATAACCGCAGGTAGAGGCAGACAGATCTAAAACTTTCGCTTCTTCTTGGCTGGACCAGCAGCCGCCTTCTTCTCCAATTCTCTCTTTAGTTCCTCTCGTTTGCGATCAGCCCTCTCTAGTGACGTTTCTCGTGCCTGTGGCTGTGACGACGCTTCTTCCTTGACGAGAGGTCGACTGCGGCCTCGACTCTCCCTTTCTGGCGCTGTCACAGGAGCAGCTTCACTGTCCTTCTTTTTTCCAATTATGCCCAATTTTCTAGGCGCGGGCCGAGTTGACGGCGGCTCAGATGTCTCAACAGCTTCAGAACTAAGTGTCTCGGCTGGTTCCTGGACTGGTTGCTTTGGCTTGGGTCCACCGATGCGCCCGAGACCACCTTTCTTTGCTACGGGTTTGGGCGGCGGCGGCGGCGGCGGCGGAGGAGGAGATGATGCTGGTTGATCTTCATCAACTTCCGAAGCGGTTTCGCCACCATCATCATCCGGGTCTGAAGCCGTCTCAGAGTCGTCAACCTTCTGGCTTGTAACTCGCGTCTTCTGGGGGCTAGGGACTGGACTGGGCGAACGAGCCGGACTTGACTGCTTTTTTCGGCCGAGAGTACCCAGTCGGGAGCTGGGTTTCTTAATCTCAGGTTTCCGTGTCTCAGTGGGCACGATTCGGTTGCTCCTGGGCGGAGGAGCAGATTCGAACTCATCTTCTGTCGAGGCATCGTCTGGTAAGCGCTCCGTCTTTGGCGCTATCGGCCGAGAGGATGCCAGATGGGGTGGGGTAGATTGAACCTGAAAGTCGTCGTCTTCATCAACATCCATCGACTCTGCCGGAGCCGGTAGTGACGTTCCCCTTGTCACTGAAGTCTTCAGCTGCCATGGTCTTTGCGAAGTTGATGCACCGTTAAATTCATGCCACCATTGATCGAGTTTTGGAGCTTCACCGACATCCAGACTGGACTCAAACTTGAGTCCTTCACCTCCAAAGACCTCTTTGACCAGCGCTTCTGTATCGTTCGTGCCGCCCTCGCAGCCAGTTACGCTGGATTGCCAACTTCGACGGTTGAAAGGCTCCAAGCCGGGAACCTTGTCCGCAGCAGCCGCCCTAGACACTTTCTTCTTGCCAGAAAGGGGGTTGAAAACATGCTCCAAGCCTGTGCCCAAGGCGTCTAACTTGTCCAACAACTTGTTCAGGACAACATCTTTCTGGCCCAAGATGCGAATCAGTGACTCCACCTCTTGATGTCTTATGAGGTGGGCCTGAACTAGCGGAATGACAAGGTCTGTGGCAACGGTAGAAGAAGGCGACTTTGTAAGATGCATAGGCCACTTCAAGGGCTGTAGACCTGGAAGCTGACAAGTGATGTGCAGAGTAAGCCCATCCTCTCCTGCGTCGGAGCTTGACGATCGCGTCAACCGCAGTTGAGTCTGTTCATGATTGGGATGACACGGATCCAGAGCGCTTTGGAGGCTTGTAAGGAACTTGACCATGTTGTCTGACGTATCACTTGGGTCGATAGTGGTGTTCTCGCTCCAGCCCCTGATGCAAATGGCTTTCCGATCCAGGCTCTCGGTCCACATGTTCGCCATGTCGGTGACATGAACAGAGTACGCTGCCGTGTCGGTATCCATGGAGACGAGCAGGACGGGCATGTCGGGTGATGAGGGCAGCGGTAGCGGCCGCCATGACTTTGTGGGGGACATGTCCGGCCGAGAGGATTAGTACAAGAATGGGGGTATCGGAGTTGCGGGTGAGTAGTGTATTAGGCCGAAATGATGGACACAAGCTGTGAGTTGTCCTATGCCGTGAATGGATGATGGATGGCGTATGAGCGAGCTGTTGGATACTCGGACGCTCTCACAAACAAGGATGCGTCCAGACTTGAAGGTATGTCCAAAAGAAGCAACGGGTAATTCCCAGTTGGACGCTGAAAACCGCCGAGAAGGGGGTCGACGTTGTTTCGGGCGTTTCAGACGGCTGAATCAGTCGACAAGTAAAAGATCGGATGATGATCCGGAGGTGCAGGTGTACGACGTCCAGGTGCCACAAACCATGTGGACTTTCGGAGGCTCGTTGAAATAGGAAGAAGCTAGGCCAGCAGCCGTTTACTGGGTACGGGGATCACAAGGATCAATATCGGCAAATCAAATGAGTACGTACTGCGATATGGGCCACAAAGTACGTGCTCTATGTCGAGGGGCCATCTGTCGTGGTTCTCGAAGCGAGGAGGAATCCTAAGACATGCAGCGACGCGTGAAGTTGGTGAGATTGAAGCTGAGGCTGGTGAGCATGGATCTGACGCGCGCCTGCCTGGTGGGAAGTTCGGGGGTATAAGTGGGGCTCTCCGACGGAAGGGAAAAGCTCACTCACAGACACATCAAATTGAGCACCTTCGACGAGTGTGCATGTGCTGTTACGTAACTGTGATAACCTATTTTCGGCTTAGGATATTTGATAATTAGAATTGACAAGCTTGGTCTGTGTATGGACTGAGTTTGCACAACATACGTAGACCTCTAAATGTGCCGGGAAATGATCAACTTACACTTGATCAAGCACGCTGAAAGAGCCGATCACATGAGGATAGGGCACTGAAACGATAGCCTTGAAATCTGAAAATATCAACACAGGAAGATTCTGCCATGTTAGAACCAACTGACTTTTCCCATTTGGTCCTTGATGCTCTATTAATCAATCACCTTACCGTAATTGTGCTTCTTATACCTAAAAATTGTGTGTATGTTCCAACAGTCAACGATTGAGGCCCGGTTAGCTCAATCGGTAGAGCGTGAGACTCTTACAGAGTACACAAATCTCAAGGCTGCGGGTTCGACCCCCGCATTGGGCTTTTCCTATTTCCAAGCATTTCTTTTTGTCGGTTTCTGCTTGATGATCAATTATCAACCAACCCATCTAATCCAATCAATCTTTTTGACTTCATAATGATGAACTCGATCAAGTGTGCAAATTGCTTACCCAGCATCTCTCGAGCCAGAGGAAAATGGAAGTGTCACAGGCCGTTCATCTTTTGAGGGACGCGAATAGTTACAGGCCCTAATTAGCGCCCAAAGCCACTAATTACGGCCGGGGACTTAGCCGGACTAATTGCACAGCATCAACCCGCGATCTCAGATCTTGATAGCACAGGTCCCGATCTCGACAGACGTCATCGAGCACCTTGAATCGGTTGCCAAACAAGACATGTCATCACCATTGCAGACCCCAGATGAGAAAACGAATCTAATTAGAAGGGACCTAAGTTATGTTTACCTAAACACGCGCCTTTTTGACTCAAACATTAATTCTCCCCTTGATCAATCACTGTTTGCGTAGTTCTTCATGCATGTTGTCGCGACTTGAATTGCTACTGCCTCCTTCACAGACACAACTCAAGCCCTTTGGCCAATCTAATGCTTTCAACCACCTGTACCTTTTTTCGCCTTCGAGACGTTGCATCCATTCTTCCTCATTCTTCACGATGCCTCCCAAGCGCAAATCCACATCCCCTCCAGAGGTGAAAGTCACTGCGAAAAAGGCCAAGGTTCTTGACAAGTCTAGATTTGACGAAGTCCTTCGCCAACCGCACCACAACGCCGACCAGTCAGAGGAATATGGCATTGTCCTTCGCAAGTACTACCCCCCAGAGATGAGCAATGCTCGTGCCCGCGCATACAGAAACGAGGAGATCCCCCGGCCCATCGAGACGCTGCTCGCTGCTCTCGAAGAGACTGCCCAAACGAGAAAGAAAGTAAAGGCAAAAGATGCCGTGGTCCATTGGTTCAAGATGGACTTGCGACACACGGACAACAAGGCTCTAGCCCTCGCAAGCGACAAGGCTCAAGAGGCTGGTGTTCCTTTGATTTGCATGTACATTGTGAGCCCGGAGGAATTTGAGGCACATCTCAGATCGCCCGCCCGAGTCGACTTTGTGCTGCGGACGCTCAAGGTCCTCCAAGAAGACTTGGCGAAGCTGGACATTCCACTATACATCGAGACCGTCGAGAAGCGAAAGAAGATCCCTGGTCGCATTCGAGAGCTCATGGGAGAGTGGGGCGCAACCCATCTCTTTGCCAACATGGAGTATGAAGTCGATGAGCTGCGACGAGAGGCGGCCATGGTGAGAGACCTCGCCGGGGACGGCAAGTCGTTCGAGGTTGTTCACGACACTTGCGTGGTCCCTCCAGGCAATCTGCAAACGGGCACTGGGAAGCAGTATGCCGTGTACTCACCATGGTATCGGTCGTGGATGGCACATATTCACGAGAATCTCGACCTTCTTGAACTGTTCGAGCCGCCTGCCAAGAACCCGGGCAGTATTAGAAAGCAGTTCAAGAAGCTATTCGATGTGACCATTCCAGATTCTCCCAAGAACAAGGCGCTCAGCGAAGAAGAGAAGACAAAGTTCCATGCTCTCTGGCCCTGTGGCGAACATGAGGCAATGCAGCGACTGGACAAGTTCTGTGAGGAGAGGATTGGCGGCTATCAGGACCGTCGAAACATTCCTTCAGACAACGGTACCTCGTGTCTCTCTGTTCATCTGGCCGCCGGTACCCTCAGCGCTCGAACCTGTGTCCGATACGCCCGAGACAGGAACTCAACAAAGAAGTTGAATGCCGGAAACAATGGAATCCAGACTTGGATCAGTGAGGTTGCGTGGCGAGACTTTTACAAGCATGTCTTGGTCAATTGGCCCTATGTCTGGTAAGTTCAAGAAAGTTCGTATCCCAAGCCTGTCTCTCATCCTTTGTGATAGTATGAACAAGCCCTTCAAGCCCGAATACGCAAACATCTCTTGGTCCTATGACAAGAAAGCGTTTGCGGCCTGGTGCGAAGGCCGAACTGGTTTTCCGATCGTCGACGCAGCCATGCGACAGCTCAACTACCTTGGCTACATGCACAACAGATGCCGCATGATTGTAGCCTCCTTCTTGGCAAAGGACCTTCTAATCGACTGGAGGATGGGCGAGAAGTACTTCATGGAGCATTTGATCGACGGTGACTTTGCCAGCAACAACGGCGGATGGGGCTTCAGCGCCAGCGTTGGCGTTGACCCTCAACCATACTTCAGAATCTTCAATCCTTTGCTTCAGAGTGAGAAGTTTGATCCTGATGGGGAGTACATCCGCAAATGGGTTCCCGAGCTCAAGGATCTGACCTCCAGGGAAATCCACGATCCATACAATCGCGGTGCTGGGCCCAAGGCCAAAAGGAAGGGATACCCCAAGCCGATCGTTGAGCACAAGCTTTGTAGAGAGAAGGCTCTGGCTGCGTACAAGGATGGAATTGAGAGCGACGATGCGTAGAAGATATGACAGAGTCTCATAGGGTTGGTCCACCATGTAATTATCAAGAGTACGCCGTAATACACCGTAATACACTTCTGGAAAGATGTGTTCACTTGGGAAAAAGTTACGATGAGGTTTATTCATTCATGTTAGACCCGTATCTGTACCATAGCAAAGGACTCAACCGCCACGGCTTTTTCAGGGCCTGTTCGATCTGCGGCATGGAGACTATCAGAGTAGTCCCAGAATCCCCGAACAGAGGTGACCCTGGAGGGTCATCCGAGGAGACTTCGCTAGCCGGGACAGGTGCATATCACCACACTTTTATCACACATCTTCGGACGCAAGTCGCACAACGTTGTGTTGTCTCAAAATCGAGCCGAACGCCTCGAATTGGATTTGCTAGATGCAGCCAACCCTAAGTTTCTTCCACCCCATGCCTTCATGCCCGACCCAAAAACCCTAGGGTCCTGTCAGAATCCCTATCATTTTTTTCGTAGAGACCTGTAACCAGATGCGAAGTACGTTTGCCGACTTTGAACATTTATCGCTGGGCGCTCCAGACGCTCTTGAGGAGGCCGTCTCGCTGGGCCAGGCGGTTGAGGGCGTCGTCGCTCTCACCCATCGCTCGGACGAAACCGCAGAGGGCGTAGACCTGGTTCTCGCCCTGGACGGCACGGCCGTTCTCGTCGACCTTGGAGATTGAGATCTGGACGGAACCGTGATCCTTGGCCTTGATGATGCGGTTGGTCGCGCTGCACTTGCGGGGGACGTACCTAGTGAAGGTAACGGCGTCAGTATTCGGTCTCGGGAGAAAGCGTTTTGCAGCTTCGGCTGGAGTCCTTACAGGTCGACAATCTCGCCACGGTCGTTCTCCATTTTTGCGGTATTGAAGGGGGAGTTGTGAGAGTGGTTTCGGTGGTTGTGGGCGGGGGATTGAGGTCGTCGCAAAGGCTTGGGTGGGATATTGAAAAAGTTCCATCGAAATTCGGTGTGGTTTGCCAATCTTGTGGGGCACGAGGGCTTGTATGGGTCATGTGCCCCATCATGTGATAGCGCGGCAAAGACGCGACCTCCATCTGCACCATTGCGTGCCCCTCCAGCCAATGCGGTGGTGAATCATGTGCCATTGTTGACAGCCAGGCGCTACGTTCGAGTTCCACGACCAGATATCCACTGGTGTCTTTTTCAGACCTCCCTTGACACCATCACGATTTTGCTGCCTACTAAAAGCCTGAGATGCGCGCTGCGCACTCAGTCGTTAGCCTTGAGCGCAATGGCATCTTCCAATGTCTTTCGATCATCGCCAGTTCACGGCCCAAGACGCGATAGTCTTGGACTTGAAACGTCGTCTCCAGGCCTACCTCCACTTCAAGACATCCTCTCTCAACGGTACAGCCGGCCCCCTCCGCGAAGCGGCAGCAAAGCGATATCAATTCCTGGTGGAGCTTCGGCAAACTTCATCTCCGCCAGCAGTCTCTTCAATTCGACAGGAATGCCAAGCGCCAGGCCGGCTCAAGTAGCAGGCGATTCTATGGTTGAGCAACCCCGCAGCCCCGATTTGTCCGATTCGAGTGTAGAAATTATACAAATAACAAAGCCTCGGAAGTCGAGAGGTACGAAGGGTGCATTGAAGGCGGCCAGCGGAGTGAAGAAACCAAGTCAACAGAAGTCTACCAAGGGAGAAAAGAAAGGGAAGCAACCTCAAGCAAAAGCGGATACGAACGAAGGCGACGCTGGGAATCTAAATGCAGGGTCCAAGGCTCGGAATACAAAGCTCAGAGCCACGAAGAAGAAAGGAACGACCAGCGAGCACTTCGAACCTGCCGCCACTGCCGAGCCTTCACTATCTACAAAGCCGAAAGAAGCCAATGTCAATGAGCCTTTGAATTTGGAGCCTGCAGGCACTCGAAGGCTTAACTGGACACCCCCAGCCCAAAAGATAGTCATCAATCTCGACTCTGGCTCCTCTGCACTGAAACACCCCGCTTCCTCAGAAATAGATATACCACGAGCCCCGGTGTTCAAAGACCTCGTCCATGGATACTCCTGTATAGACCAAATACCCCAATCTGCGTCCACAGTTCCGTCTGATGAAGAAACGAGTTTTCTGAAGAAGAGAAAACGCATCGAATTGGTTGCCATTCGGGATGGGAACGCAGTAGAGTCAGATATTCTCCAGAAATCACCAACCAAGAAGAAGGCCCCCAAGAAAAAAGCGAGGACAATCACCGAGTTGGCGACCGCAGCTTACCGAAATCCTTCCCTGTCAGACGAAACCCCTCCCTCACCTTCAATACTGGACCATTTCCCACCCGAAAATGCCGATTCAGGTACTGCAAATGAGACGACGAAGCAAGGCAAGGGCAAGGCGAACGCACGAAAAAGGCCTTCGAAGGCTTCCAAAAAGAAAGCTCCCCCGCCAAAACCTATCTTACTCTCCCCGGGAGCGGCACTTGATCAAGCTGCTAGGCAAGACTATGTCTTTGGCACCTCCAGTCAACTGGCGAGAGAACCATCACCGTCCGTTTTAAGAGACATCCAGGCTGCATTGAAACACCCC